TAGCCAAGCATCCCCTGAGGACCAGCCAGCTCCTGCCTGCTCAGACCCGGTCCATGGAGCACCTTTGGGACCCGGCGGCGAGGTGCCATGGCTAAGGCCACACCGCAGTGGAGCGGAGAGCTGGGACGAAGCTCGCCTGTCCCTAATGCATGGCAGAGGCACAGCGTGAGCTCAGCTGGCCCATCACAGGAGGCTGCAAGTCACTGTGGCTCGCGAGTCATTCGACCCATTTAATCCCCAAGATGGGACGCAGGAAACCTGTCTGGTAGAGCACTGGGGAAAACAGATAACGCATGAATTTATCCCACTGCAATTGTCACCTCCATGGAAAACCAGGGTTAATAACATCCTCTCCCAGCAAGATCCTTGGAAAAGAGGAATGGGAGCAACGTCAGGCCCCGTAAAAACAGCTTTCTGATTCAAGCTGACGTACCGCTTATGAGCTAAACCTCTTCCCCACGGTGACAGTCGAGTGACCTCCACCCATTCTCCTTCCCTGCAGGGCCTCCGCCAACGCGCAGGAGGGATTTACCTTGTACAGCTCCTTTTCCACGCCGGGTATTATCATAATGATGGACACGAGGGTGCCGAGGAAGAGGAAGAAGGTGAAGAGGAGGCGGGCGGCGGTGGAGTTCTGGGCCGCCGGCGCCAGGGCGGGCAGGGCCCGGAGCCGCAGAGGCAGGAGGCCTGGCAACGAGAGCAGTCCTCGCCGTCAGAGGGGCCAAAATTGGCCCCGTGACCCAGAGGGCACCAGCGCCCCGGTGAGACCCTAGGCGGATCTGCAGCGCCTGGGCTTTGCTTAGGGCTTCCTGCCGGTGGGTCCCAGAGAGCCTCGCAACCAGCACGGGTGCGGGACTCCCCAAATTCCCTGAAACACGTGTGCTGCAAACCGAGAGCGTTGTGGGAGCGGGTCCGTCGCGCTAACCGCCCAACTCGGAAAAAGATACAGACGGTCCTGGTTACCCTCATCAGCCTTTCTTGCTTCAAAGCAATTTCGTTCAGAAAAGGTTTGCAACCAGAATAAAGCACCGGCCTGGACAATCCGTTTTTCTTCGCAGAAGTTCAGTTTGCAAAAATTATCGAAAGCTGTCCCTCCAACCTCATACAGGATGGGGAAAACGCAAATATCAGAGTCAAGTAACCCCATTTTACCGGTGGGGAAACTGAGGCACAGCCTTGCTGGTGGTCGATGGTAGGTCCTGGCTTCCCGAACCAGCAGCGGGGTGGCGAACGCCGGCTACCGCACTCCAGCCG